AGCCAAAAGCTGGGAGATTTGTCTGGGTCTTCCATATAGGCAACGGGAGCCCAAGTAGCAGAGAGTTGGACCAGAAATGAGGCAGTGGAGACTGGAACGGAGGCTCACACAGGATGCTGGTATTGCTGGAGTGAACTCAGTCAGCTGTGCCACCACACTGTCTTCTGGTCCCTTTTTCTTTTCACAAATAAGTGATAGAACACTTCCCAGAATTAGCAGAATGTTTATAGAAAGCAGCAAGGTCTATGAAGTCAAACGCAGGTCCTTGTACTATGAACGGGGTAAACTACGGTGACAGTGAAGAACTCCATTTAAGACAGGGACCTCCTGAACATGTCACACAACAGGATGTTAAAATGGTATTCTGCTTTGGTTTTCAGAAATCAATTTAGTACAAATTGAACAAGAGAGTAAGCAGGACTACTTTTCTTGTCTGTGTTTATAGATTTGATGCTAGATAAAGTATGGATTATATCATCAGGAACATCTAAATTACAACTCAGGCATTAATTCTTCAAAATGCCCTCACCATTGGCTAAGCATACTGAAGCTGCCTTGATTTTGAATATTCTGCTTCAGACTTGAAGCATCTGGAAATACAAATGAATGAACTGTGAAGTATAACCCTTTTATTAAAAGATTCATTTATTTTTATTAGAAAGTCAGAGTTATAGAGAGAAGGAGAGATGGAAAGATCCTCCATCTGCTGGTTCACTGCCCAAGAGGCTACAATGGCTGGAGCTGCACTAATCTGAAACCAGGAGCCAGGAGCTTCTTCCTGGTCTCCCACGAGGGTACAGGGACCCAAGGTTTGGTGTCATTCTTGACTCCTTTCCCAGGGCACAGGCAGGGAGCTGGAAGAGAAGTGGAGTAACCAGGACAAGAACTGGCACCCATATAGGAACCAATGCCCATATGGGATCCTGGTACATACAAGGCAAGGACTTTAGCCACTAGGCTACTGGGCTGGGCTCAAGAAGTACAATCTTAAGTTGATGGAGTGAGCAAGGTGGGATGAATTTTGGGAAGATATGCAGGCCCCAAACATAAGAATATGAACTATGTCATGGACATAGAGGCTGGACACTGGGATCCCTGGAGTCATGGGTAACTGGTGAGTTTATAACCAAAACAAGTGAGAGAGGAAGTTGTTGGGGAATGTCTGAATTCTAATCCAATGAGTTTGGCCCAGTGCTCCTTGTACGGCCAATAAAGCTGCTGCTTTGGGTCAAGAGTTTGCATGCCTCTAAACATCTTGCACCGAAGCCACAACCCACCAGCCTGCATTGGAAGGCAGTGCCTTCTGGTTGAAGCCTTGGGCATGAGGATAGCGCTCTTTCTTACCCAGGCCCCAGAGTGGGGCACTGCCCCTTTCATATGGCAGGGCATAAGGGCAAGGCCCTGTCCAGAAACCAGGAGGTGATCCCTCACTTGACACAGTCTGCCAGTGCTTTCATTCAGGCATTCGTATCCACGGAACTGTGAGAAACAAACATCTGTTGTTGATGAGCCATCCAGTTTGCAGGAGCTGCAATGAACCCTGACGATGGCATTTGACCCAATGCTGGGGCTTGGCGATTATAGAGCAAGTCATGAGAACAGAATATTCTGGAATTGAGTGCAGAATCATATGCATGTCAACCATGCGCCATATGCGTGAGGTGACTCCCCGTAACTTATCCTTGCACTTTGTCACAGACGTTTGAGCCTAACAACGGTGTAGATAGTAACTTTGCAGTCTGTCTAGTCATTTTTTAAAACATTTGTTTAAATTAATAGATACCACGCTTATCTTCGGGCTCCACATTTAACAGATATTCACTGCATGCTTCCTAATAAACTCAACAGCAATGGGGAAGAAGGAGCAGCTGAGTGTTCCCCAGGAAAGCAAACGGTTTCAGAGGCACGCACGGCAGACACTAACCTGACACAATTGGATTTGAGGTCCTACTGCAGTCAAGTAGCTCAAACATTTTCTTTTATAATTACAGAAACCTTAATCTAATAGTCACATTGTATTCAACCATTCCCTTTGCAACTCCCACAGGTTTTACTGATCCTACAAAAATGTTATCTGTGACCATGTTGTTATTGCATGTCAGATTGCAACAACAAGAGTAGTAATAACAGTAATGATGATTGGGGGCTGGCACTGTGGTGCAGCGGCAGAAACTACTGCTGGGAACACCCACATTTCATTGCAGAGTAGCTGGTTTGAGTCCCAGCTCCTCTCCTGCCACTTACGTAGAAGTCTGGGGTAGACTTACGGACAATCTCTTTCTCTCTCTCTCTCTCTCTCACACACACACACACACACAACAATGCCTTGCAAACAAATGTCTTTAAAACATAATGACTGTTGAGTTTCTACATGACATTATGCTCGCTCTTTTGTCATGCATCTTCTATCATTTTGATGTGTTGACAAAATTCAGGTATTAAGATACTGTAATTCATCCCATGTCACACAATGCAGAAGATTCCCCCGATTTTGTACTGCCTTTTCTTTCTTTCTTTTTTTTTTTTTTTTAAGAACTGTTAAATCAACAGGAGTAACAAGTGTCTGAGGCCTTCCCTGTAAAGTAGTTCATTTCGTGTGCACAGTGACTGCTTCCAGGGCTGGATCAGCGAGCTCTTAGCACCTGCCTGGGATGCTGGCTTTTCCAGGTCTGGAGCAGCAATGGCTGCCCTACCCTTGCTTCGGTCATGTGTGTAGATACAGGGATAGATAAGGGTGTTTCCCTTGTGTTAGACCTGGTGTTCTCTTTCCTTGGAGGCTCCGTGGAATTAACACCCTCCGTGATACTCTCGCACAGTGTGATCCTCTGATACAACCATGCCATTTTCTAATTTAAATAAGCTTCAAGTCTTTGTCCCTGCTACAAGGATTTCCACGATCCTTGTCTATGTCCATCAACGCCTTCCTGACAGAAGCCCACTCCACATGGCCAACCTGACCACCACTCAGCTGCTGCTGCGACTGGCACACAGCAAGTTACTTGCGAGTTTGGACCATCTCACTGCTGGGCTTTTGCACATCTCTTCTCTGCTCGAAATGCCAACCGCAATCTCTTATTCATATTATTGTATGACTCATAGGACCCTTGCAAGATCCACACATGCACAAAATGTATTTTAAAAATTACCAAATCTCCATATCCAGTGCCCGGCACACAGTTGGCTTCAATAGATATTTTTGATCTGAATTAATTCAAGGTGAAATTTTAAAAAGCACATTTTGGGGGGAATGTGCTTGAAGCCCAGGAAAAGTATTTCCTCCAGGCTCCATTTAAGCCACAGTGTTGCACAATGCAGTCGCTGTTTCTCATTCTTTCTCTGTAGCTACACTGAGCTCTTGGGTGGCGGACAGCAGATCCTGCTCATGCTTGGATCCTTACCACTCAGTCCAGGGCTCGGCTTATGGTAAGCCTCCAGAGATTTCCCAGAACCTGAGATACAATTCTAAAGCAATCACACTGGGTAAGCAGCGTTGGTGCTGCGCTCCTGATGTCACAAATGAAGAAACAAGGGCCGGAAAGGGCTGGAAAGAAGGTATTTCTTGACTCTATTTATGCTTGAAGTCAGGAGCCCAGCCAGGACTGGGACACAGGGACCCCACCTTGACTCAACAGGGTGGCTAGTCACCTTTCTTTGTTACCATCTACAGAGGTGGCCTTGTGACTGTTCCTGGCACAGGCAGGTCCAGCACCTTTACCGGGTAAAACTGGACTCAGAGACGGTCCCTCTAGGGTGTGCTGTGAGCCCAAGCAGATGAGTCTACCTCCTAAGATGAAGCTCAAGTCCCAGCCGTGAGCGGGGCCAAGGAGCTGACAGCTTTTCTTCCTTCCCAGGCTGTGCTGCTGGTGGTAGCTGAACAGTCACGAGCTGTACCCATCTCTTGCCACTGTCTTCAGGAGCTCCTGTGCCCGGAAGTGACTCCCTGGTCTCCGGCACAATGAGCAGTGCCCCTTGGTGAGTCAGTATTATCCTATTGTGGATACTCAGCTACAGGGCCCTCTTGGCAGGTACAAGGCTCAGCACGGGTCAAAGATGGGAGGAGGGCTCCAGGAGTCATGTCAACACGCCCTCGGCCATCCCCTTCAAGTGTGCTCCGGCTGGATAGCTTCTGCTTACCGGCAGACATTTAACGGGGGTTGCTCATTTCCAGGTTCATACCCCCTTCTTCCTGGGTTTCAGCCAAGCAGACGGGATCCTGCCCTCCCCTCACCTTCTGAGGGCATCTGATCCGCGGGCTAGGAGACACGGAAACCCAGGAGGTTGGCTGGGCGCCAGCAGCGCTGGCTAGCCCACGGGCACCAAGATTTGTCACCCGGAGGCTTCAAGACTCCAAGGAGGTGGGGGATTGGTGATGCAACTTGGTCTGCGTCAAATGGGCTACTCAAAGCCCAAGCTGGGGAAGGGGAAGAGGTAGTGACACCACAGAAAAGCACGCACGCACATAAGCAAGGGGTTTCAAGTGGAGAGAGGAGTGTTGGAGAAAGAAATTGAAACGAAAATGTGGGACTCCACGCAGCAAGGCTGCTCCAAACACCTCGGAAAACAGGCGCTCCTGGCTCGGTGCATCTGAGCGGAACAGGCTGAAGGATCCGAGGCCGTCTGGCGGGCTCTCTGCAGGGGAGCGCCAGCAGGGTGTAGTCTTTTGGTTCGGAGGTGCAGACTTGGCGGGGTCAGGATAGTTGGGGCAAACCCGGCTGGGGAGCGGCGGCTGCGCCTCTCCAGCCTCAGCGCTCACCTCGCGCAGAGGGACGTGCTGCCGGGACAGGGCGAGTGGCGGCGCCCCGGGCGCAGATTGCACTTTGTTTACCGTGGGAGCAGCAGTAGCAGCCGCAGCCCGGCGAATGGCAGCGGCGAGACTGATGGAGGGGCACGGGGCTCCAGGAGGGGGGCCCTGCGGGGGCGGGGCGGGGCCGGCTGGGGCGGAGGCTGGGCACGAAAGTGTCGGTGACATTGAATGGGGAGGCCGGGCGCGAGCGAGACGCGCGCGCGCACACAGGCGGCCACGCTCGCGCCGAGATCCCCGGCCACGTAAGTAACTATTAATACCGCCTGGCCGGGAGGTGCGGGCGTGCCGAGCGGGGGCTGGCCTCGGCGCCGTCGGCCATCCCCTTTCATCCTTAAATACACTGCCCTCGCCTACCGCTGCGGGGCAAGGGAAGAATCACAGAAGAAAAGGAAAAGCGGTAGTTTTCTCCAAAACAAACGCTGCAGGGCACTTTGGGTCCCCGCTCTGGACAAGGAGACGGAGTGCTCGCCAGTCGTTCCGAGGCGAGACCCGCTTCTCTGGCTGCCAGGCCACGCCGCGGGTGGGCCGAGCCACGGGGCGCATCCCCCTCCGAGCGCCCCGGAAGCTCGCGCCGGGGAAGCCGGGGAAGCCGGAGCCCGCCGCGCCGCCCCGGGCCCTGCGCGCTCTCCCGGCTCGGCTCGCACCAAGACCCGGAGCGCGGGCGCGCGGCTGCAGCATGCGCCTGTGCTGAGCTCGGCGCGGCGGGCCAGCCCCGGCGGGGTCTCGGAACCCGCACCCGACCCGCACCACGGCTCTGCCCCGCGCTGGCGATCCTTTTCTTCTTGCTGTTGTTGACCGTGCTGCTGGCCGCTCCAAGTTAAATGCTCCCTTGCAATTCTTTTTTTGTGCTTGCTTAATTTTTTTTTTTTTTTTTTTGAGAGCTCTTGCGATTTTGGAAAAGCCTCAGACGCCATCTACAGTTGAAACGTAGGTAACTGCCCTCTCCGGCAGCCCCCTCCCTTCCACGCCCCCCACCCTTTCCACCAAAAAAGGGGGTGCAGCGCGGATTCTGGCTGCCGTGCGTCGCGAGCCGGCAGACCCGGAGCCGATTTCCTCCTGCCTTTTTGTTTGGTTTGCATCGCGTGGAGCCCGCGCCGCCGCCGTGCGCTCCCCCAGGACTAGACGAAGCCAACGTCGGGCTCTTCCGCCCCGTCTGCGATCCCGAAGGCTGCCCGGGCGCCGCTTCGGGAAACCCGGCGCTGCAGCCTCCGCCTCCGCGGCCCGGCGGCTCCTCCTGCCCGGCGCTGGGGAGAGGGAGAGCGAGCCAGCCGCTGCGCGCTCCTGGCGGCTTCGGGCTAACAAAAGGACCCGGGCTGCTTGCGCAGCGAGTGCCCCCGGGACCGGGCTCGGAGCAGACCAGGTGCCCGGCGGCGCCCGGCTGCGGATTCCTGGCTCTTTTTCGAAGCAACCCCACGTCCCGTTCTGCTGGCAACCCGCGACACCGAGGCACCCGCAGCCGCGCTCGCCCGCTCGCGACTCGTCCCTCCGGCGGGTCTTTTTGTTTGCGGTGCGCGATCCCCACACTCATGAACATACACAGGTCCACCCCCATCACAATAGCGAGATATGGGAGATCGCGGAACAAAACCCAGGATTTCGAAGAGTTGTCGTCTATAAGGTCCGCCGAGCCCAGCCAGAGTTTCAGCCCGAACCTCGGCTCCCCGAGCCCGCCTGAGACTCCGAACTTGTCGCATTGCGTTTCTTGCATCGGGAAATACTTATTGTTGGAGCCTTTGGAGGGAGACCACGTTTTCCGTGCGGTGCATCTGCACAGCGGAGAGGAGCTGGTGTGCAAGGTAGGGAGCCCCACCAGGGCTTTGGGTTTGGGGTTTAAAAGAAAAAAAAATCCTCCGGCCCTTAGGCAGGGGTCGGCCGGAGTGGGAGGTCGCGGAGCCCTGGAGTCTCGGGGAAGGAGGTCGGCGGGTTGGTGGCCTGGATTCCCTGGTTGGGTCGTTTATCTGCTGTTGCTGGACTAGTTGCGAAGTTTTTAGACCGTTCCAGACAATGGGGCGGGCTGCCGCGGGGGCGTTTTGGGGAGAGCCTGAGGTGGGGAGGGCGCGGGGCTGAGCAGGGGAGCCCCGGACTCGCGTGTTGCAGCGGCCCCTGGAGCTTCACTGCACCGGGCCAGGGCCCGTTGCCCAGGGACTCGGGGTTTGGGGATGATGGTAGGTTCCTTAAGTGTTTCATCCCCTCCTAGGCAAGCTTGGAGCAGGGAATCCCCGGCTAATTTTAAGATTCACTTGCCTGGGCTCCTTTCACAGCCATTGTTCTCGCGCCCCTTGCAGGTGTTAAACCTTTGTTCCGAAGGTGCCCTTTCTGAGAGTCATACAAAGGTGTCCCCTTGGGCTGCACCCAGGGACCCCGTGCAGGCAGGAGGTTTACAGAGACCTGGCCTTTGCCTGCTGCCTGGATGGCAGGTTCCGCTGGAAATCAAAGCCTCAGGGGCACCTTTGATGAAGAGGAAATTTCTTTCTCTCTCTCTGGCCCCCTCTCCCCCCGCCCCATTTCGTTTCCTGTCTGGATTTCCGTGCTTGCAAGTCCCCCCATCAGCACACACCTTGCGCGGTATTTTAGAGGTTGGCCCTTGGGAGCCCCAGGGATCAGCAGGTAGATACTGCTGGGGACACCGTGGCACCTTTTTGTCTTTGAGCCTGCACAGTGCCTGAATTATGCGTGTGGGATTGCCTCTCTGTCTTTGTGTGCACTCACAGGGCACCAGACATGGGGAGGAGGTGGGGACGAGTTTCCAGAAAGAAAAAAAGAAAAGGTTCAGTGGAACACATTGGTACCCAGAATTGGACACAGATCAAGAATCCATTGTCATTTGATTTGGGGTTTGCTCAGTGTCCGTGGGGGAGGGGAGTGAGGACTGTGCAGTCTCTGACAGCTGAGAATGCACCAGCACACTTGGACCAGGAACTGCAGGCTGCTTTGTGAACTTGCCTTACTTCCTACTGGAGTCTTTTCATTGCAAAAAAAAATCGCGTGTTGGTGCAGCTTTCCAGTCCTTTCTGTGATTGTCCAACTCAGACCGTAAGGAGAAATCTTTAAAGATGGCTTTTCGCTCGGATGGAGCCTTGGGTGTTTTGTATCTTTTCTGATTTATTGAGACCCAGAGCAACTGTGCCCGGTTAAGCAAAATTCAGGAGGCAGTTCAGAGCTGGGTTGGATTCTCAGAAGTCCTGCGACGTTGCACAATAGGCCAGTCATCCTTTGAAATGAATGAATTCCACAGAGCTGCCAGCCTCCCATGAAATATGCACAATCACCCAGCAATGAGTGTTCTCACTCCTTTTGCTCAACTTCAGTGCAGCATTTTAATATTTTCCAAAGGCTGAAGATGCTTTTAAGTAAAGAGACTCTGCAGCTGGATTCCGCAGGAGCCTCTCGCCGTTATCTCCTTGTTTAAGACTGGAGGGGACTCTGGCCCCTGGGCCCCTTTTCTCCCTTCAGATTCTTCAGGACATATTTCACTGTGGGGCTGGCCTCACAGGGTCCTTTGCAGACCTGCCCTCTGGCCTAACACTGTACTTAATCCACTCTGTCAGTGATGGCAGAGGTGGAATCAGCCCCTCACCAATTACAGCGTGACTGTGAGTGGATTTAAGTGCAGTATCATTGCTGGGCTTGACAGAGGTCATGGTGGAAGACACAGCGGGCTCTGTGCTGTGCCTGGTTGCCAGTGCTGTGGGCGCTGCTCGCAGGAGCACAGCACGTTGTGAGCCAGCAGTGTGAGCTACCTGGAGACAGAGCCTTTGAGCCACTGATCCACTGAGGGCTCCGTGAGAGGCTCACGGGGGTCAGGTCCCTGCTGATGTTTTGCACCATGTAGGGTTCCGGTTTCCTAGGGCAGTGTTGGACCGAGAAAAAGAGACTTTCACAAAAGCAGAGTAAACGCAGAGATGCTGCGTGCCAGCAAAGGCTGCCCAGGGAGGTCACTTGGAGGGAGTCGGCTTTTGGGGTCCTCTCCGTAAAATCGTCCCGCCTGGTTGTTGTCTGTGTGCCTTCTTTGGCTAAGCACGTGAAAGGAGCTGCAGGAAGCGTGTGGCTGCATCGTTTTCATGGAAGTTCTGGTGGCTGCGGTGCAGACGGACACAATGACTATCTTGGCGGAAGGGGCACGCTCTTTTTTCTTCTTTCTGCAAACCTTGTTACTGATGGCTTCGTCCGACTGCCTTATCTGAGCTGTCACATTACGTAACCAAAGCTCCACACTCACCAGTGTAAAGAAGCTGGCAGCCAGATGTGTGGGTTGCTTTTGTACAAAATCAAGTGATCACAAAATCAGGTGATGATTTCAACAGCCATACAAAACCCACAAATGCCTGATAAGGCTACCAAAAAAAAAGTTTGTCCTGTTCCCATTCGGAAGAGCATCAGTACTCGTTTTACTTTTTGTACCTCTGTCCACCATCTTGGAATCAGTTCTGTTTCGGCAGAAGGAAGGATATGGCTGTGTTGTTTGCAAGCCACCGTGGTCATATTTGATTGATTTTTCCTTTCTATATCCGTTCAGTTTTTCAGAAGCGAAGCAGGCTGAAAGTATTTTTAGAAAAATCACCTCTATTTTTATTTAAAAAAATCAGAGAGGGGATTATAAATCAGCCCACTTGTTTGGGCGCTGGCTGCAGCCCCGAGCTCCGGCCACACTGCCCTCATTATGTAACTCAGCGTGTTTCCAGGAGCCCCTGAAAGCGTGCACCGCCCTGTGCCATGGTGGAGGCTTCCCCAGGTCTTTGCTGCCAGCAGTCTGTATTACTGTTGACTCAGGCATTTCAGATTGCTCCTAATTGAACGGGCCTCTGAGGTCACCGCTCTGAGGTCATCCGTTGACAGTATCAGGGTGTGATTTGTGGTCCCGGGAGATGTTGAAGCATTCATTCTTAAATTCTAGGTTCCAGTGGCAGCAGCTGTGCCGCTTTCCTGCCATGCCTCATTACGGTTCATTCACAATGTTGCAGTGAGCTTCCTCGGCCTGACTTAGCACCAGCCCTCTCTAGCGAGCTTCTCACTGTCTGTTTGACTCACAGATTTTTTTTTTTTTCGTTTGGCGCTTCAAGCACCTTAATTCATGAATTTTTAAATGGCAATCGGTGTCTCTGAATGGGCTTCGAAAAATCTGGGAATCCAGCTCGAACGAAAGCCGGCTGTGCTCACCTCTGAGCGTGGGCATCCCCTCCCCTGAGCGAGGGGCCAGAGCCGTGAGCGGATGGCCACGTGGGGTCAGGACCCAGAGAGGATGCTCCTGACCCAAGTCAGCATCTCTGAGGGGGAGGAAGGTCAGTGAGCCACAGGGCCTTGTTCTTTTCAGCTAGGTGATGGGCTAGCTGCTGTCAGAGCCTGTGGGCTGGTGATTTGGGGTGCAGCCTGAAAAGTGGTGGTTAAGCACCTGTGTCATAACCGTGACAGCAGTGTTTGCAGAGGCTCCACAGCTACGAACTGATAACATGATATGCATGATTAGCGGTGTTTTATGGGGCTCCTGCTGTCCAGCCCCCCGAGTGTAGCCCACACCAGCCCCCCGGCTCAGGCACACAGTACATGCCTTCAGCCCTGCCACAGGCCAGGGCAGTTGGGACACCACACTCCCAGCCCAGGCACTCTGCTCTTAATGCAGCAGGTGGCTTGGGATGAATGAAAGTTTCTCTTCCTCACCTCAACACCTTCCTGTAGTACTCAGATGCCATGGGTCTGTTTCCAAAGGTGTTGCTGGGGTGTTTTCTGGCAACTCCACAAGGCGGTGGCATTTTGCATGCTAATTATGAGTCACAGAAATTATTGACTAACTAGTCATCTGGTCACATATCTGATGAGGGAAGAAAGGAAAGAAGCCAGTCACTTGCTAGTAAGGAAAGCTCTGTGGGCAGGTTAGGTAAACGCCTGAGGTGCCAGCATCGTCTTCTATTGGAGTGCCCGGGTCAGGTCCCAGCTGCTCTGCTTCCAGCCCAGCCTCCTGCTGATGCAAAATGGTAGGCACTGGAGCCCCTATCCCCCGAATGGAAGACCCAGGCTGAGTTTCAGGCTCCTAGATTCGGCCTGCCCCAGGCCTCGTTCCCGCGGGAGGATTTGGAGAGTGAAGCAGCAGATTGGAAGATCTCTCTCTGTCTTGCTCTGTCTGTCTTTCTCTCTCTCTCTCTCTCTGTGGGTCTTTCTCTCTCTCTTTCTGTCTCTCTGTCTCTACCCCTTTCAAATAAACTAAAGGTGGCCATGGCCCATACCCAGCTCTGCCACGGGGGCTCAACTTTGACTTTCTGTCCAAGCCTCAGTTTCCACATCCGTAAAATGAATGTATTGAGTTTAGGTAACTATTAGGCAAAGTCCAGCTATTTCATCTGATCATTGTTCACAGTTTCCCTTTTTAAGCTGAATAAGATACTGTTACATAGACACAGTCACTTCCTCCAATTTCATCTCAGTTCGTCCACAAGTGGGTGATTGATCGGCAGCCCTGGCTCACCTTCATTATCTCAGGTGGATGTCCCAAACACCGTGAGTCAAGTGCTGAGGGCCTGAGTCACACAGCAGGACAGGGAGGCCGGGGAAATCGGGTCGCTTGTCCAGTCCTGCTGGGAGGCTGGGCTACTGTGGCCTGGGTCCAGGTCTCCTCTGCTCCGTCATCTTGCAAGCCCACGAGGGCAGCTGGGGTCAGAGTGCTGTGATTTGGCGGCTCACCGTGGTCTTGTGGTTCCTCCCGCCTTAGGTCTTTGAGATCAGCTGCTACCAGGAGTCCCTGGCCCCGTGCTTTTGCCTGTCTGCCCACAGCAACATCAACCAGATCACCGAAATCATCCTGGGCGAGACCAAAGCCTATGTGTTCTTTGAGCGAAGCTATGGGGACATGCACTCCTTCGTCCGCACCTGCAAGAAGCTGAGGGAGGAGGAGGCGGCCAGACTGTTCTACCAGATCGCCTCTGCCGTGGCCCACTGCCACGACGGGGGGCTGGTGCTGCGCGACCTCAAGCTGCGGAAATTCATCTTTAAGGATGAGGAGAGGTAAGGTTCGGGGGCCTTGTGGGGTCCCCAGACCTCAGCTGGTTGCTTGTCCCCGATTGCTTGAAAGGCTGAAATGAGCGATTTGGCTGCCTATTGTCCAGGCTAAGGGAACAAAGCGCAGGAGGAGAAAGCGATGCAAATGGTGCAATGCAGAGGTGTCCTCGGAAAGCAATGGCTGCTACTCTGAAGACAGCGACACGCCACGGGGCAGGGGTGCGGGGGTCATCCTCTGTGGCCCCCTGCATAGCTTTGCTGAGATCCTGTGTTCTGCAAGTGGCTGCGAGTCTGAGTGACGTTTTCAGCAACAATAAAGACAGGAGTTTGGGGATTCTACACTCTCTGAACGTACGGCCGCCTGGAGTCATTCCTTTGTAATTGATTCATTCACTCATTCACTAGCTCTTTCCTAAGTGTGTGCGAGGTATGAATCACAAGCTTTCTTCCTATTGGGAGGCATGAATGAAAGAGACAAAGCTGACCTGTATAGGAAGTGTGACAGGCCTTAAAGGGACAGAGGCCCTGTTGGCATCCCCTGGATATGGAGATGTGGGTTCTAACCGGGGCTGGGCAAGGGGTCAGGAAGGGTTTCCTAGGAGATTGTGCAGCTAAGACTTGAAAGGGGGCTGTGCTTCCGTCACTGCCAGCAGGCCTGGTGTTCAGGTGAGAGCGCTCCCAGTGGTCAGTGCAGGACGCCGTGAAGGTCATGGTTATTTTAGGAGACAGCTGCACAGGACGCTGGGCATCTGGGTTCCATTCATGCTTGTGCCATTTGCTCATTACATTCTACTTAGCAGACCTTGCTGAGGCCCTGCTTTCTCTCGCAGCTGACTTTGATTGTGGAAACTCCTCGGAGCACTTGTTTCTCTTTAAAATGTGCATTTTTAGTGGGATGCAGGGAGAGCTGGATTTGCCTTCCTCTCTGTGTGCCAAGACTTGACCAGGAGGCTCCGCCTGTGCATCCTGCTCATGGGATTTAAAAAAAAATTTTTTTCTTCTCAATTGCCTTGAGCATCCTCAGACCTCCTGAAAGAGAGACTAGCTCAGATCTAGCACCTCATTCCTTTGGTTCATCTGCAGATGAGCACCTGCGGGGCCAGTGCCTGGGATTGTTCAGCAACTTCATCCAGGGCCAGTGTACTGGAAACCCAGTGGTACCCCAGGGATAAGACCTAGCAACATGTGCTGAGGCTTTGTTCATCTTCATGGATTGGAGCAAATAGGAAGTTACTGTGTGGAAAGCCTTTGGAGATTAGCGAGAGAGCAGGGCCTGTTGTGCTTTAATCCACATGGAGTTGTTTTGTGGGCTTTTATCATTCCGCCAAGGATGCCAGGTGCAGAGGGCTGCTGGGCTCCCGCACCTGCAGAGGCTGGTGGCTCTTCCTCCTTGTTACCCCCAGAGGGGAGGACTACTGGTCATGCTCAACAGTCAGTATCCTGGTCTTTGGTGACGGCTTTGACCTTGTATTAACTAATCAGAATAGACGTGGTCTTGAGATCCGGTGAATCTTTCGGCCTGCCACCCCATACACTCCTGCTCTTGACACTGCACAGCCAACATCTGATGCTGCTCTTGGCTTCAGTATGTTCTGTGACCTTGGACTGGGTCCTGCCTAGCCCACACTCACTCCCAGCCCAGCTCTGGGACTCTGGGGGTCACTCCCACAGGCAGAAGATGGTGTCTAGGCCCTGAGGCGTCTGACAGTGGCCCTCCAGCTGCAGCCACCAGAGCTGGTGATTTTGACCGCTTGCTCTGGGGTTGTGGGTTAACTCCTGGAGCTGAGCACAGGGCGTGTCACGCGCGAGGACCCCAGCACAAGGTGATGAAACCTCAAAGTTACAGTAGATGGAAGAGCAGAAAGAAAGCCAAGCTCCTGCAGTCCGGCGTTGGTCTCCCCAGGGCCTGAGGCTAGCATGAGCTCCCTCCCAGGCGATGTGTGTCTGAGCTTGTCGTTGATGCCTCCTCCAGGAGGAGTGCTCAGTCCTCAGTGAGTGGCAGGTGGCGTCTCAGAGCTACTGAGCCCCTGGGCCCCAGTCTCTGCGTGTTTGTGAACAGAGTCATTGGAGGGGATGTCCCCTGCCATAGAATGCAGAGAGCAAAAGTGAACTCCTCTGGGTCAGCTGTCTGGGTCTGTGCCCAGAGGCAGAGCTGCAGAGGCCGGAGCCCTCTATTTTCACCTTGCAAAGGAAGCAGGGAGGGCACTCTGAGGCATTGCCTCCTTGCCCTCTATCCCGAGCCTCACTGCTTTCCCACTAGGAGAAGGCGGGCTAGGTGCTGAGGGTGAGCTGTGATGGCCCAGGACCAGGGAGAATAGACACCCACATGTAGACGCTTCCATGGCATGGAGTGTGCTGTTCAGTGCAGCGTGCCTCTGGTTTCTGTGAGAGAGTGGTCCTTTGCAGAGAGAGGGCAGGAGGTGTGGTGTGGCCGTGAAACCAGAACGGCTTCCTGACGTAAGCACGCTGCATCAGAGCCTTTGATTTTTACAGAGCATCCTCCCCTCTTACCAGGGCTGTAAGCCACCACAAGGACGCTGGCCAGCACACCTCTGCCGCATCCGGTCTCAAAACTTTGTGGAACCTGCAGCAGGGAGAATGGATCCCACTGCTCCCTCCCACCCCCCGCCCTGCTGCCATCGGATTGGTGAGGTTGCAGGCTACGCAGGGGTTAAGTGACCAGACTGAGGCGGGGGCCAGCCTAGGAATCTCTGGTTCCACTCTCAAGCCTTTTTGCTGCTGTTCGCTGTGCCGGGGTCCTTGCGAACTTGGCAGTGTGGTAGGTGTCACTGCCTTGGCAGCCTGGAGAAGGTCTCTGGTTTTCGAGGGTGTTGTGAATGTTCTCATCAGAGGCTCAGAAGGAGAATTGTTCTCCTCCCAGCCGTCAGCTTTTCGTGAAAGTGGAGCATTTCTGGTGGCCTCTTGTTTTGCCTTCTCTCACTGGCTTCTAGAATGAGAAGTGTCTGCTTTTGTGTCTTGCCTTGTTTCTCCAGTCTCATGGCAGAGTTACTCAAGCGGTGGCCAAGAGGGAAGCAGGTGTCAGGCACTTCCGGTGGCAGCAGTGCGAGTGCAGGAGTTAGGGGACGGGGTTCTCTCTGGACTGTGTTCCCACGAGCTGTGACCCCTGAGCCTCATGGCGTCACCTGCAGTAGAGCTAAGGCAGTGCTTCCCTACTGTCCTGATAACATCAACAGTGCAAGGAAGCAAGGGCTGAAATCTGCAAGAGTTTGGAGCAGTTACCTGTAGAGTCTGCCTGTTCTCAAACCCCTTATGCACAGGCCCTGTTGGAGGTGGGCTGGTCAGGCACTGGAGAACATTCTGCAGGTGCCACTGTGAGGCCTGGGGTCACCCAGCTGCCCCTCTGCACAGCGGTGTTCTGTGATTGCAAGTGAGGCTGGCTGAGCCCCTCCTGGTCAGAACCCTGCAGGGCCGACTCCTTAGGCCAAGGTGGCAGATGGCGGTGTTTCCAGCTGTGTGTGCTTGGCCGCCCTTGCAGATGCAGGCCCAATAGTGTGGGGACTCCATGTGCCTGCCGACGGTTCTGCAAACCAAACTCGGGCAGGTGACACCCAGCCTGCGGTTCAACCTGCAGTGTGCCCTTTGCTGTTCCGTGGAGCTGGCAGCGAGCAGCTCCCTTTGATCTGGGTTCTAGACTCACCCCAGCTATACCACTTGTGGTTTTGGATAAGTCACCGAAGGAGTGTGAGCTGAAGTGTCCCCACGGCGGAAGTCCTCCTGGTCCCTCTGCCTTGAGGCTGCCACGAGAGGCTCCTGTGACTCACAGGGTGGGGCGAGCGCGCCCCAAGTGAAGGCTCTGCCTGCAGTGGTTGATAAACGTACCATTATGGGTGAGCCGTGCCCTGGGCTCCGTGAGTTCCTGGAGCATGAAGTCACTACCGTTGGCAGCCTCCACTTGCAGAGTGCTGCCCTAGTGATGTGGGGGTTCAGACTTAGGCCACGTCTTCCTCTGTCTTTTCTCGTGTTTAATTATAGTCACTCAGTCAGTATTTAGAAAATGGCCCTGCGAGTCAAGTGTATCTGTTTTGGCATCTGAGGCTCAGAAGGGCTCAGATGGCAAGATGGCCCCGGGCACCCCGGAAGAGGACTGGCCACTGTGCTGCTCCTCCCTTCCTCGCTCCCTGCCTTCCCCTGATGTGGCGGTAGAGCAGAGTTTCTGGGTTTCTGCTTGCACGATGACAAGGACAGACCCTTGTACTCAGCAGCCTTTTGAGGACTGAACAAACTTCCCCGGCTGTGCACCTCACGTCCTCAGGTCCTACAAGACGTCTGTGCTGTGATCTGTGGGTTGGGCTAGGACCCGAGAGAAAGCAGACCATGTGTCCAAATCCCCAAAGGGAGTACCCCGGGACCCTCCGGCCTGCCACTTCTGGCTGTGCTATTGGGCTCATCTGCTTGGTCAGCTGGTTCTTAGAAGCCCCTGCTTGTGCCTCAAGGGAAGGTCAGGCTTGGGAGAAGGCTCCCATGTCCTTGTGGGTCAGAGTCACCTCTGGATTCCAGTCCCTGCCCTTGCATGTATTAGGAAACCTGACCTCGACCTGTTGCGTAACTTCAGATTGCCTCATCCGTAAAGCAGGACTAACAGGAAGGCTTTCCTTGTAGAACTCAATGAATGGGCAGAAGTGAGCCCAGCACCTGGCCCAGCAGTCCCCAGCAGTGAGCCTGCTCTGTGCCCACTGTCTCCCTGCTGGCTCAGGAATGGGGTGACTGGATTGTCCTCAGAGCTGGTGCACCCCTGGGCTGTCCCAAACGAGTAGGGCGCTGTGGGGCTTGTTCCTACAGTACTCCTGGCTTGGGCTGCCAAAGTGACTTTGTTGTTGGGACCAGGTTGCTTGCTGCCTCCCCCACTCGGCTATGTCATTGCTGACCCTTCCTTGGACAGCCATAGGCGTGTGAACCGAGCACCCCTGTCTTCACTTGTGTCCTCTTTGTCTGGATAATCTTCATCTCTGAACACGGCAGGTTTCATTTCCTCTGCTCCCTCTCTT